TATGTCGTGCAAAGACCTGCTGGACCTCTTTAAAGCCTTTCATGAAGTATGGCTCCATTTAGACAGTGAGTTGTGGCAGGGTATGTTGGACCGTTTTGTTCCTGTCCAGCAATTTTCAGCGTGTGACTTCCTGCCGTACCATTGTAACTCGTTTTCAGGGTATCTCTGTTCAACCCTTTGCCTTTTAAAGCAACTTTATTCTTCTGTCTTTCGTATTGAGTTTGCAACGCTAATTCTCATAATCGGCGTAAAATTTATAATTGCTGCCTTTGATAAGGAAAGAAATAAGCAGGCAAATGCTCCATTTTAGCTTTCAAGATTTCCATCTTTCGAAGCTGAGAAAGCGAAGTAGATTAGCTTTCCATGGAGTGCCATAAGTTTACTTGAAAGTTTAATGCTCAGTTTTCTTAAATGATGAGACCATCTTGCCGAAAATCGAGCGCCATTCAAAGAAACGAGGACGAGAATGAAAAGTCTACAAAACGTCTACAAAACAAAATTATAAAACGACTTAGTAGAACTTTTTTCAATACCAGAGTTAGAACTTCCGAAGACGACGAGCAGTTGAAACGCGTTACGTTAGGCCGCTGATGTAATAAATAGCATCACCCAAAATTCGTGCTGACTACATTATACTGACACAATCCTAAAACTTTTTTGTTGTTGATATGTCTACTACATAAATATAAGTATTTGAACGTTTATTTGGAAATTGAGTTGTAACTTACAAGAAGTGATCAGTATTTCTATTGTGCTTCCTAAAGTTGACCCAAATGTGGATCTGACTTAGAATGAGTTAAAGCCAACTCCAGACAGAGGTAGCGCCATGGCCGAGGCTGCGCGAGCTTTGATGCTTTAATGATAAAAGCTGCTCAATTGCTGCGTTTGCACCCGTTTTGCAAATCAAGTTACCCGCATGCGTGCAAGTGACCTATAATTATTGTTTTCTTTGCGTCTTTGTGGTTTCAGGCATTACCCGAGTATCTCGGAAGTAGTTGTTGATGCTTGCTTTTCAACGAATTTAATGTAGTAAGAATCGTCTTTCTTTCCATGTGGGTTGAATTCACTTTCAGCTGTAGCACGATACTGGCAGAAAGTAAGCTGCCACTGAAAAAGAAGCTATGTTTCGCAATTCTTTTCGAAATGTACCTCACATTTACATTAGTGTATCATACTTATCATATCGGTCAGAGTAATTTCTCGTATAGGTTTATGTTCGATTTTTTCCAATAAAAAATTTATGCTGATAGAATATCTGTTAAGTTTCTTTGTTGTTCACACTTTTGACGTTTTTTTTTGCTTTTACTAGGGAACCAGTAATCAAAGGTGCCAGACTGCATCTGCGCGCTTCGGGACCACCACGCGGTTTCCCGGTATTTGCAGATTTTTCAATTGCGCTTACGTTTCTTTAAATATTAGATAGATTTCCAAGTGTATGCAGTGTACTAAGCGTTTCACAGCTGATGTATGTTTAACAAATACTTACTACAAAATACTTACGATACTTAAAAATACTTACAAATACTTAAAACTCTACTAAAAATTTTTTCAGCTCAGCAGAAGCTAATACAGTTACCTTATCAAGCATTCCTAATTGTATTGGTAGCGCCGACTGTCTATTAGTTTTTTAAAAGCGGAGAGCCTTTCTTCTTTTCTTTTTTTGAAAGTGGTTAAGATAAAAGTTTTGGCTAAAATACGGCAGTACATGGGATTACCTATGCAGATGACTAAAAGACTGCTGCGAAAAAAATGCTTGAGTAGTCTGAGATTATTAATCGGTCTTTTTGTTTAGGACCTGCTAAAAGTTTGACTTTTTTCAAATCAAAAAGCTTGAGAGTTCGCAAATGAGCACGGACTATGCTCTCGCTCTCAAGGCAATATAGGCGACTCCCGATTGCTTTCTTTACTAAGAATGTGTAGGTTGCGAAAATGGTTCGCTCTGGGGTTCGATTTTTTCTTCTAGCGAATTCTATAAATAGTTTCGGCTTAGTTTTTCATGATTGCCTATAGCATGGCGCTATAGCCATATATACATAAAAGTACCACCTTTGGTTGCATGGATTTAGAACATAACATTGTGTAAAGAAAAATTCCATTTCAAAACTTTGTAAGTTGACATATCTTCAATACTAGAGCTAGCAACACCAAATCAGATCAGATAGGACCCGATGAGGACTCTCAGGTACACCTCAATCAAAAGAACATTGAAAATGCACGCTGAATTGAGCTGCTTTGTCAAAAACACCCATACCCTGTATAAAAATGTAGTTGGCTTAGTTTATTCGAACATTTCCAAGATCTCCAAGTAATGCAAGATTGTATTTACCTAATGCACGCATAATACGAGAGCAGCCATAGTAAAATTATAAACCTACCCGAAATCGTAATAATATATCAGCTCTTGTATGATAGGCACAATGGTCACAAAGAATGTTTCTGATTTGCGCAGAATCAGCATTCCATTGTTTCAGCTGTTTCCAATACAAAGCTCACTAAATCAGTCTGTCACATCACTTTTTATTCTTGGCTGCTTCCAATACAATGTTCAGTATAAAAATGGCGGAATCATCTGAAAGTGTGGACGCTTTTGCAATTCAGCTGGATAATGCAGCCACTGGTTATTCTGCTGATATCAGCTCTTCCGAGAATTACTGAGTCTGTCCTAAGTTGTGGGGAACTATCCCCAGGACGTGAGTGATTACACTATTATCCGGAGTATAAGGCGCATTTTGTGCATCACGTGCTGGCTCACCTGCGATAACGCGGGACGTGTGACATCGCAAATTTGCTAAAATTAGGTACAGTCGAGTAGATTTAGCGGTAAATATAGTGTGCTTGCACAGAAGGTGAAATGCGGTGAAATTTGCGCGTGAACAAGTAGCCACGTCAGTACCGCGGGTATCTTGCGCGCGCAATTGGCCGGCGTCACAGTCGAAACTATTTCTTCACGCGCCAATTTTACCGCATTTCACCTTCTGTGCAAGCACACTATATTTACCGCTAAATCTACTCGACTGTACTAAATTCTCGCAAAAAATTGTCTGCGCAGGTTTTCGCTACATCTCTTGTGATCACGAGTTGTTACAGAAGAAAGTCTTTCAATATATAAAGCTGAATGTCTGTTTGTCTGTCTGTCTGTCTGTATGTATGTCTGTATGTCTGTACGTATGTTCCGAATAGAAAATTCCATTTCTGAATCGATCCAGACCAAACTTGGCACACATACACTTCGGGCCCCGGCGGGTGTCATAGGCTACTTTTCGTCATCGATCGATATCGATTTTATCGATTTTTTGCAAAATTTGAGCTACGGGGCTGGGAGTTGGTACAGGGGGGTAATCGAGCATGCTGATTACGAATAAAATAATGACAGGGCCGGGAGGAGCCGGGTAAGCCATCTAGTTTGTTAATAATTTGCAGACCAGAAATTGCGCACGAGTGCGTACAAGTCGTATTGCTACTTTCTTCGAGAATCTTCAAGTTGAACTGTGATTTCTTTTAAGTCTATATGTTGTCAAAACTCTATTGAAAATTCAAAATCGAATAAACACTAAATTCTCAAATTCCAGCCCATTTAGTAGATCACTTCTATTCAGCGAGCACATAGGGCACAACTATCGATCGCTTAAATTTGGCGCGGACGATGCGTGTGCTTTATTTGTATCAGGTCCGGAAATTGAGGTCCCTTACTCGATCTCGACAGTATAATCATAGAAACGCGGGAAACATTTTATTCAATAAAGCAAAGCAAACTCTACAAGACTGTATTTTGGTGATCGTAAAAAATTTGATCCACTTAAAGTTTAAAAGCAAAATCCAAAAGAAAAAACGGAAAATTAAATTTCAGTCCAAAAGAGCCTGCGCACTTCCAACTTGGTCAGGTATATACTTTTCACTCAAACATTCATATTACAGTCGCGGTATGCGGTATTTTTTCCACTACAAGAAATTGAGAAAATAAGTTGGCGCATCTCAGCAAGCACAATGCTGAGCTACTCTGACATATTATTATCAGCTTCCTTTGAGGGCTAGTTTCAGAGAAATATTGATTTTAGTTTTATAAACGAAAAAAACCGTAATTTCGCGTTTTTAGCCCAATAAAATGTTCAATTTTTAGACACTAAAATACGACATTGCACATATGTGTTTGATTTCGACAGTATATGCCTGACCAAGGTTTGGGCGGAGATCTGTTTTTTGGACAATTGAATTTTTTAGATTTTGCTTTCAATTTTCATGCGAATTTAACTCTTTGCGATCTTTAAGTAGCCGTGCAGAGGTTGCTTTACTCTGTCGAACGACATGTTTCCGGCATGTCGTGATTACGTAGGAATACATAAATTTCCGTACCTTAATACATGAAGGAGCCTTATACTTCGGATAGGTACTTTGAATCAAGATATTGAAAGATTCTATGTTTCTTTATTCGTACACTGACATATCAAAGAATCTTGTAGATTATACAATTCTAATGTACACATATAACGTTTGATCTTTGCTATCTCTCTTTCCACAGCACAATGGAGCAAATCTACCGACTCTGCTCATTATGGTATGAATTACGGTAGAAACTTAGAAGATACTTTTCATCAAAGGCTATATGTTCTAGAAAGGAATTAAACAATCTAGGACTCTTAGACTAGGGTAATTAGCACTCCAAACTCGAAGTTCGATTTTACTGTAATGCATTGTCTACAGTTTACTGGCAGGCGCGTAAAAACCTTGTCACATAACTCCTTAGATTTTTTTCGGAAATACTTTTGATTAGACAGCTGATTTACAATGGCAGTATGTGTGTTGGAATTGGAACCCTCTACCTCAAATCTACGCTAAAGAAGAACGATCGCAAATTCGTTCATACCTTGGATTTGAGTTGACAGCTTTATAGGATGATATTCAAAAATCGCCAAAAAAGTTTGTGAAAAAAAGATTTCAGACAAACAGTTAAACGTGCTTTGTGGACTCTCTAAAGGCTATTCATCACTTGTATTTCAGCCTGTATGGACGGCCGATGTCCGTCGACAACTCAAACCTGCCTTGGTGGAGACATGGGAGAGTGTTGTGAGGATGCTGATGTGAGTTTATCCATGTTGTTAAAAAATACGCTAATCTATTGAACGACTTCAAATTTAGTGACAACATATATCTCTGCATTGGTTCCATTCTATAAAATAATCGTAGCACGATATGCAGTGACTTTATTGAATCTTCTTTTCCACTTAGATAGAAAAAAGGCTGCTCAGAAAAAAAACATTTGCCATTTATTAAAATGAGCTCACAAAGACACGTTACAAAGCTGCAAAAAATTGAAGCGCGCAATAAATGAGCAGGACGTACAGCATTTTAAAGAAGTGAATGCGTTGCTCGTGCACTTGCGTCATTATGTTTGAGCGCAGCATTCAGTGGAAACAATTATTTTATTACTACATCTGAAAGCAAACTGCCGCTAGAAATTTATCTTGGGTTGGTCCAAAAGTTGCGTTTTTTTTTCTGCACTCCACAATCACTATCAAAGAGGCAAACAAACGATATTTAACGCGGTTTGTTTCAAAAAGAGATGAAGTGCCTTGTGTATTTTATCTTCCTCGAAACCTTGTTTCTAGCACCTACGTTAAAAAATTGGTCGCTCGAGTGGAGGAAATCGAAAAAAAACTTCATCAGGAGAGGTTTGGGAGAAAGGAAAAAGCCCCCGAAAATTAATTTAAATTAAAGCGTAGGGTTAGCCACTTCCTCCATAATTTTGGAAGTGCCATCTAGATTTTTTCGCGCGCACATCGCTTGACTTTTTAAAAATTTATTACACCTCTCTTTTCTTCCCCCTGCTGCTGGGTTGTAGAATCTTCCTTTCCAATGCTCACAAACTAGCTGTTCTGTCAAAAATGTCGTAATACAGATTCTCAGCGGTGGAACGACGGCTGCCCCAACACAGGCCTCAACACAGGGTCCAACACAGGCCCCAACACAGGGCCCAACACAGGCTCCAACCCCTGGTACGCAAGAAATTGTTATTTTTCTTTCCTTTCTGTCTTTGCAACTAACAATTAAGCTGAGCTTGCGTTGACAATGTAAACAAGCTTCTGTTTTTTCTTCTTTGCCCATTGACGACGACGCCTAATATTGCGTGGCGGTGCTGTGAGACAACGCGATTTTGCACAACACTTTCGGCGCGGAAAGATTTTGTGATTATTTAGTAAAAATGTTTTGTAAACAACTACGGCCATCTTCTTGGACGACAAAGTCTACGGTTCCGAAAGTGCAATAATTTGGAAAAAATGTTGAACTGTGTAAAAAATACTTGACCTGAAACGGATATGATTTTCTAAGGGGTGTGGGCCACCGGTGGTCCACATCGTCCCTGGCGGCAAAAAGGGTATGGGCCACCGGTGGTCCACATCATCGTCAATGGGTTAAATATCACGCAATGATTACTGCAACGAATGAGTTCAGCTTGTGTGGACCAAGTGAACCCTCTGACGGGTGTATCAGACTGTCAAAGGCTTTCATATCTTTGCAATGATTCACTCTATTATGCATTAATGACTCAGCAGTGTCCACTAACATGCAATCGATGTAACGGTGCAACACAGCAACCAGCTCCAAGTGAGTCATATATTGATGTTCATTTGGTTTATACTGTAATTGCTTATTTATAGGTTCAAACTGCAGAGATTTGGTTCATTACCAAACTGGGGTATCGGACTGTCCGCAGAGAGCCTACCTTTGTACAAACGCGCTATACCGAAGCCTTATGCAGGTGCAGTGCCCAAGAACGTGCGGCTTCTGCACATAATGTCAAAGCATTGAGTTCTTCTATGAAAGCCGTTGTCACGAAATTTGCAAAATATGCAAATAAACATTTTGCTTCCCTCATCTACATTGTCTCTCATTCATAGAGTTCCATCTATCAAGATGCATGATTTCATCCAAACATAGTGACAAGCTTCAGCTCCATAGCAACATGTGCAAAACAAAAAGAAGTGACCAAAAAGTTTGATCGAGTAAAGTACTATCAGAAACAGCCTAGTGTTTGGAGAAATTATCAAAGGCTTATAAGACTGAGGACTGCGGTTCGACCCCGTCTTAGAGAGAGTGAATCATAAACCTTTAAGAACACTGTTTTCACCATAGTGAGTGTGAATGAGAAAACTTTCGTACTTTACAAGCTATCACGAAAGTTATTATGCACTGTTGATCTTTTTCTTGAAAAAATGTGAAGCAGGAGCGTACGCTGAGAAATTTGAGAAACTCGACAATCATATCATCTTATCATTCGTTTAAATCCTGCATATACTATCAATATCTTTGACCTAAAAGGCCTTACTTTGTGATTTCGGTTTAGACGTGCCTTCCACAATTCAAACTCTGCATTTCAGCTTAGTAAGCTGCAAACTATACGATTAGGCCAATTGGTGAGCCAGGAGCTTTCAATGAAATATTTACTGAATCGCCGTAAAGTTCCGCCTAACATCTCTTCGCTTGATTATAGGTATGAAACTCTTAAAGCAGCCTTATAGCCTTATTTGAGTGAGGAAAAATTGACTTTTCCCTCAATTCTCGTCATATCGCATAATTGCAAGGTCCAGTCTTTGTCATTACTCGTTTGGAAGATTTGAGCAATCTGCTGATGTTGATAAGATCCATAACCTCGAATTGGTGTCAGGCTGCCGACGGACAGCGGGCAATAAATATTACATTTATTTTTGAGCGGATGATCAATTCTTTGTAGCTAATCATAATTCAACATGTTCTTACAATTCGCATTGTAAATTTATTCTATAGTTTCATACCGTAACATGATGAATGATCAGTTTTCAAAAGATAATCATGATTTAGCATGCTCAGCTGTGATTACATTGCTGATAATTTTTTGCGACATTTCAGTGTTTGTTAAGACACTTTGAACCAAAAAAACTTTTATCGCGGTTGTGCAGATTGCGAAGCTTTCGTTGCAATCCTGGAAGACCTCGCACTGTATAATAAAAAAAATTCTAGAATCAGTTAGAAGTTTAACATTTGCTCAACTGTGCTAGCATAAAAGTAATTCGAAAGCAATGAACTTTGAAATTTTGATGATAAGCGCTGTTTTGCATGGAGTACAATACCGCTCACAGAATGTGCAAAATTGCCGTGAATGTCGCGAAATTCCGGGATTCCGCGAACTTCCGCGAAATTCCGGGAATTCCGCGAAATTCTGGGAATTCCGCGAAATTCCGGAAATTCCGCGATATTCATGTGAATCACGCAAACTACGCAGGGCCATAACTTGTTTCCGAATGAGTATATTCAAAATCCGAAAACATCATTGTATTCAGCTCGTCAAGGCGAATCTTTTGGTATACAGGTTGTCCCCAATATCCTCTTTTCAATAATCTTGAATCTGCATGCGGACGCCTTTTCGCGTGGGTGTAACGCAACAAGCATCACACATAGGAGATTGCGGCGGGCACCCTTCGATAGTACTCTTTCAGTAGATTATTCTGCGCTAAACAGCAGCCGAAGACTCTCTTTTAAAAGAGATAGAAGAGCTGATAAACTCTGTAAAAATCAAGCTGTTCCAAGTTCTACTAGCCGTAACTTCCTTCAGAATGAATATCTTCGAAATGCGAAAACAGTATTGTGTTCAGCTCGTTAAGGCGAATCTTTCGGTACACAGCATGTCCTTCAAATTCCATTTCCAATTTTTTCAAAATTTTCTGCGCGCGTATATTCGCAAGGTCGCAACGCAGCGCACATCAAACATAAAAGACTCCAATAAGCACTATTGGATTGTGCTGCTCCCGCAGATTACTGAGCGCTAAAAACGAACTGGAGAATCTTTTTCGAAAAAGATAGAAGAGCTGGTGAATTCTGGAAAAATCGTGTTGTGTCAAATTTTGCCCACTGTAACCCTAAAATGGGAAGCTCTCCTGCTAAGCAGATGTGCCTTTCGTAATCAGCAGGTCAGATAACCTCTATGAGCAAGTTTTCAAAGAAATTCGGATGATTTGATTTTTTCTCGTTCTACGCCCTGAAGCTCGCCGATGGGTTTTGGTCAAAATGTCGATGATCTTGGATTATAAGGAAGCTTCGCGGAATTTCCGGAATTCTGCGACATTCACGGAAATTTTGCACATTCTGTGAGCGGTATTGCATTTTATGGAAAGACATCTGACGTACTTTATGGAGTATCGTAACTTACATTAGGTGGTTCCAAAAATCTTTTCATATTTCAATTTTCACCGATATGAGTCAGTGCATGTTATATCCCTGATAGGATGCGGGGGTAGCGTCCCAAAATAAAGAAATTCAAAATTTCCTTAAAAAACAAAAAACAAGCGTATGTCAGTTTGAAAATTCTGCGAATTTCTAATCGCTCACGCATATACTCTCCCCATCTGATATCATATTGAATATACACCTACCTTTTTTTCTAATGGCTAGAAACGGAAAAATATTGCTCTAATTTTATAAACCTTTGTTGCGAATCTATGTTAGCCGCGAAAATGTGATTTAGCTCATAAACACAGAATCACTGCCACGAATTTGCAGATTTGCAGGTGCCCTACTTCTAGAAAAATATCAATTTGAAGGTTTGATTATGAAAAGACTTATAAGACAACCTAATAAATTATGATGCGACTGTTAACTTGGTTTCAGAAAAAAAACTAGCTCGTAATTTCATAATAACCGTTGGAAAACTATTTCACAACTTATATTGCAATGAGAATAATGGAAAAAAATCTGTTTTCTAAAGACTTGAGCGCATCTAGGCACGGTAGTCAGAATAGTTGAACTATGCACATTGATGCGCCCATCCATTGCTTCTTTTAGAACAGTTCTATTTTGATGGGAGTTCATCTTCTACACGTCCCTCGACTGGTCGGTCATTTTGACCGCTCTTCCCCACCCTACCGGACGTCGAACCCCTTGATCCAGGAAGCCCCGGAACAGCAGGATCAAGTATGTTCCACCCCAACAACGACTGTTTACACATCGGAACATTCAACGTGAGACGCCTGCCAGACGAAGTCCAACTACATGAACTGCAAGAAGCCCTGAAGAGAACACGACTCGATATACTGGCCCTGACGAGATGGAGAGACGAATTTCAGAAGAAGCTTAGCACTTGCAATTGGAAAGAGTGAGATCACTCACGTTAGAACAATGGATCAGTATGTTTGGGTGCCGCATATTGTAATAATATGAAAGGCAAATAAATCATAAATCTATTTTGATTAAAACCTTTGTTTTTGTTTGACTTAGGTTGGCTTAATCATCAGAGCAAGCTCTGCAGAAGTGCATTTATTATCTGTGAGCAGAAAGGTTGCGGGCAAAAGTAAAGCTGGAATTGTATGCAGTTTTTAGCGCACAGGCTATCAGCAGGTACATGCGTTCGTATAGTCAAGCCAGAAATAATCTTTGGTGTCTTAAGTATTAGGTAGGTTGTTCCATGATTTTTCACTTGACAAAAAGCTGCTTCTCTAGTGCAAAAGCCTAAATCATCTAAGCATCTCTACAAACTATTAGGTCGTTCCGAAAGTAATGTCGCTTTTTTCAAAAGTATGCCACATCGCGTGGAACAAAGATGTGTAAGAGACTCTGGCAGCATTTCATTCTCTTTCTAATGGTCATGAAGTTGTTGCAATACAGTCAATGAGCTTCCAGAAAAGAGTCAAAATCTGCGACCTATGCTTTTTGAGATGGCCAAGTTTCACAATTTTTTTAAAATTTTATATCAAACCTCAGAAGGATCCACGTAATGGATGGGTGGAGCAAATCCTACAGGAAACAGCGCAACTTTTTTCTACTCTTCAAAGCTCGTCATAATTATTGTACAGATTTTTTGATGAAACCACCGATTTTTAGCAGGCTCGTCTCAGACACAAGTGCATCAAACGCCAACAAGTCTCCGGATTTTGAAACTTACAAAGATGGATTATGGTTTGGCAACAATTTTACAAACCAAACGAGCATTCACCGCTTCGGTTTAGCAACTTTCGAAAATTTCGGATACACCTTGGAAAAGTTGAATGATGATGATTTTATCCTGGAAAACTTGATGAATAGGATTCTGTGAGGTTTGACTTGACTAGATATGAAATTTGATGGCATTGAGACATTGATTGTAGAAACTCTGAGAAGCAAGCTAAGGAAAAGAAAAAGTTACTCTGTGTACTATAGTGTTTGCTCTATCTACCTGCCACTTGTACTTTTTCGGAAATTAGGTACAAAAATTTAGAAAAATAGCCGAAATTGACCATGGCAAAAAGCATGAGTCGCAGATTTTGGTAATTTTTCGAGAGCTCATTTAACATTATGCAGTGAAATTAGAACCATTAGAAAGAGGATGAGATGTTGCATCGAATACTACTAAGAGCTCTTGAAATGTTGATTCCATGAAATGTGGCGTTATTCGAAAAAAGCGACATTACTTTCGGAACGACCTAATATATTTCAAGCATTTACATAGAACTTGATCCGTCCGTTTGAAGTGAAAATCAAAATTTTTTTATTTCTCGAAAATTGAATCTAGGAGCTTCTAACTGTTCACGCAAAAACTCTCTACATTAGATAACCAGATGTATTAGGTTCTAAAAGTAATGTCGCTTTTTTCACATGAACGCCACATTCCATAGAATCAACCTGTTCAAGAGATCTTGTAAGCATTCGATGCAGCATTTCATCCTCTTTCCAACGGTTGCAATTTCATTGCATAATTTTTGATGAGCTCTCCAAAAATTACCAAAATCTGCGACTCATGCTTTCTGCCATGTTCAAGTTTGGCTATTTTCCTAAAATTTGTACCTATTTTTCGAAGAAATGCAAGTAACAGGTAGATAGAGCGAACCCTATAGGGCACAGGATAATCTTTTTCTTTTCTTTGGCGTGCTTCTTAGAGTTCTGGAATTAATTTTTTAATGCCATCAAATTCCATATTTGGTCAGCTCAAACCTCACAGAACTACAACCGGCAAGCAACTCGGGTGTCATTCGACGCAGCTTTTTCTTCTCTTTCTACCAGTCGTTTTTTGTTTCCGATTCATCAACTTTTCCGGGGTAAAATCATCATAGTTCAGGTTTTCCTGGGCGCTCTAGGCTGTACCCGGAATTTTCGAAAGTTGCTAATCTGAAACAGTTGAGTGCTCGTTTGGTTTGTAAAATTAGTGTCAAACCATAATCCATCTTTAAAATTTTTAAAATCCGAAGATTAATTGGTGTTTGATGCAGTTGTGTCTGAGACGAGCCTGCTAAAATTCGGTAGTTCCATCAAAAAATCTATACAAAAATTATGACGAGCTCTGGAAAGTAGAAAAAAGTTGTGCTGTTTTCTGTAGGATTTGCTCCACCCATCCATTACGTGGATCCTTCTGAGGTTTGATATAAAATTTTAGAAAAATTGTGAAACTTGGCCATCTCAAAAAGCATAGGTCGCAGATTTTGACTCTTTTCTGGAAGCTCATTGACTGTATTGCAACAACTTCATGACCATTAGAAAGAGAATGAAATGCTGCCAGAGTCTCTTACACATCTTTGTTCCACGCGATGTGGCATACTTTTGAAAAAAGCGACATTACTTTCGGAACGACCTAATACATTCTGCATTTTTCATGGCCAGAAATATTTTAGAAAAGCCGAAAAATACAAAAAACCAATGAAAATCCGCTCTTTCCAGTTTTCTATGTTATTGATGTGTTCAAAAAACTGCTTGTGAAAGGCTGAATCTGTATATTCAGTAATTTATACGGGTCCAAAAAATGTGCACACTGTTTGATCGTTAACAACTCTTCTGCATTAGTCTCTTTCGCCGATCTTTAGGTACACTTCTGAAGATTTCTTAAACTTTACACTAAGATTCTTAAACTTTACACTAAGAAACTAAGATTTACACTGTGGAGCGAATCACCCATCACTCTTCGTTAGTGTAAAGTTACGGTAGGAATTTCGATGGCGGTTTTAGACCATTGAGACCTATGTTTTGCTTCAAAAAGAAAACCAAACAGGCCGAAAAGTGATTTCGAATATGAACTTTGCACTTCAATGTGATGGTTCTTTTCTAAGTTACTTCACTTATTAGACCGTAATGTATGCTTTTCTAATGCCCAAATGTGATTACACCATCGAAGAGTCCAAAAAAATCTTAAAAGTTGGTCTAGTGAATTTAGCGTGTGCGAAAAGCTGTTACACAATCTTTCAGATTCAACGAAAAAGATTGTTAGATGGCCTAAATCATAATGCTGCTGTGTGCTGGAAGTTCCTACCATAATCCTACGGTAGCGAAGAGTGATCGGGGCTCGCTCCATTTAGTAAATTTTAAATTGAAGCCAGCTTATAGAATGGTACCTAAAGATCGGCGAAAGAGACCAATGCAGGAGAGTTATTAACAGTAACGATGTGCACATTCTGGTACTTTATCCGGACCCTTTTTTAAAAAGGTTATTGCTTCTTTTCTTGCATCATTTTTAGTTCCTACTTCACAGGAAGAAGCGTCAACCTCTTGCCACGTGTCACTAAAAATTGACAGGTCATCTACATTTGATAGGTTTCAACAAGAATTTTTTGTCACTTGTCAAACAAGGCAAATTCATCCTCTTTTGAATTGATATTCACCGCATTTTTAACGACTTAAAATGAGCATTAGCATTACGATAGTGTTATTCTGTTCCTAGATAAGCGTCTTATATGTGCCCAAAAGAGGAAAAAACGTAAGCTTTCCATAGTTTGAGTGGCGGAACAAGCGACGGCAAGATGCTTCACGCCATCGTGTTTATCACTTTCTAGCTAATCCGCATAATTTTTTGGACAAGGGTAATTATTACTCGACCAACATAGCCTTGTTTGCTTGTTTTATTACTTAGACCATTTTTGCTGGCAAACGTGTATGAGCGCCATCTCCATACATTGCAATAACTTGGATCATCTTCCCAGTCACTCAAAAGTTAATCATTTACTATAATCTTTGTTATTCACTAGAAGTCATTAGACTTTCCCCGATAGACTGGCTTGGTGGCAGTATATTAACCAATAAAATGTCGTGAATGGAAAGACTTACGGGACGACAAAATCTTCTTTTGTTTGTTAAACTCTTATTTTCATGCAATAAAAATCTAAAGATTTTGAAAAATATTCGGGGCATGTCTACAGAGTGCAAAATCCATCGTACGGGTATGCAAAAACGCAAAATACCTACTTTATGGTTGGAAGTAGTTTTGCGGACCGAGTCCGGAGTTTTGTTGATAAGCTAGCATTTTTCAGATGACAGCGAAGAGGCCGGACGCTTTGGTTAGCGAATATGGGTGGATGGCACAATCATGTCTGCACACGTTCATCTTTGCTGGTGCGCCATGTTGGTGCATATACAATGCGTGTGAGGGGCCAGCGCCGCGTAGTGCAGTCACACATCTGCGCGCGAGCGCTACCGTGGACTGCAGCGTGCAGGGACCATGGCGCGCAAAGCGGCGTGGTCCTTGTTTTAGCTATTTTTCCTGCTTCTTTCTTAGTTTTTTCGCTATCCTGCTTTCAAATTTTTGAGGTTTTACTGCCTGAAACTCTATTTCGGTACTTCCTGAGATCTCTCAAAATTTACCGCGAGAGTGAAAGACCAAATAGAGGTTTGAGATTTAGAAGGAGAATCTAAATCATTTCTGAGAATTCTGTCAAGGGAAAGATACTCAATCGCAGTGACAATTGGGTAAGTATACCGCGTTACCGCCCCCAAACGGTGATCTCTAAACCGCACTCCATACCTGCTATGACATCATTCCCTTAAGAGCTATGAAGGATTTTTGGTGCTGCAGGCGCATTCAACTATAGTAGTCTCGCCTCGCCACCGACGTGATAGACTGGTGCATTGGATAGTGGTTTGGACTGCCAAGCTGGATGTCGTGGGTTCGATTCCTCTCGGAAGCCCAAGGATTTTGCGTTTTTTTTGCAAAATCCTTCACAGTGCTTTCAGAATGACGTGGTAGCAGATAAGGAGTGCGGTTTAGAGACCACCGTCTGGGGACGGTATACGCGCGCCGCTTACCCAATCGTCACTGCGATCGAGTATCCTTCCCTTGTGAGAACGGCTGGTGCTCTTCTTCCTTGCAGCTAAAGGTAAAATGTGAGATGTAATCGTATATCGTGCAGGTTGAGAGAACAGTTTCAGTGAACAGCGCGTTGGCGCTGTTCACCTAAACCTAAACGAAATATGATTATGTCCGCTGAACCACGAGTCGGTATACTGAGTCATGATGTCCGGAGTCAGCCATCCGAAGAAGGCCTGGATGAAATGGAAAATGTCATGAGGAAAGCGCTAGAAAAATTTTCGGTATCAAGACAGATCGCATGTCAGCACAGCAACAAAAGTGGCAATCCGCTGCTACAAAAACAGAAAATCACGTGTTACAATGATAAAAACAAGGCCGCGATTTGTGCGCAGCATGGTCCCTGCACGCTGCGGTACGATAACGCTCGCGCTTAGATGTGTGGCTGTATTACGCGGCGCTGGCCTCGTTAAATGCATTGTACATCTTCACATGATAACATAGTTCCAAGAAATTTTAAAAATCGTTCTTAATCTTCCGTATCAAATCCTACACTTGCACACAAAGGAATAATTCTTGATGAACATTGAAAATATTTTTCACCCTCGTTTCGACACGTTAACCGCACCAGAGCGAGTATATCGTAGAAGAAAAAGAAAAAACAGCAATTTTGAGTGTAATAAAAAGACTGTGGTAAACGTGCTGACTGTTTGTGCATTTGCAGCATTTGTCATGCTGTTGTGTACGCCTGTCGTGCTCTACATAAGGAACAGATTTGAAGATTCTGGAAATCCGATTTTTTTCAGAATTTCAAAGAGAAGCGATAGAAATTACCCGACAATCTGATATTTGTGTATGACTCGTTATGCGGCGACTCGCTATACAATCTTATGGGGCTTGCTCTGCTTTACCGAACTGTCCCGTAACCTAACAGAAATTCAAGCATGTCTTCTTTAGCATTCTTTACTTTCTTAAAGAATCAAATCGCGAGCGTTTTAAGATACCCCAGTAGACTGGATTCTGAAAAGCGCAGGGCATTCTGATACCAGAAAGCTTACTCGATTACATTCGTGCTGAAGACATCAGTTACGTGCTCCAAACCTAAAAATGGCTTTGTTCAGCGACCCCTCCAAACTTTTTCCATCGTTGGTTCGTTGCTGCAGGAGACCTGCTCTATGAAAGCTCTGTGTCATAAAATGATTTCAGGAAAATGCTCTCGATTTCTATACTGCAAGTACTGTTCTTCTTACATCTGACAAGACAACAGCAGTTTCAAGACTGCGCTAACGGAGGAACGGGACGTAAGTGAGCGAATCCTAACTGCTGAAGAATTGGAGTCTGCTGAATTTCGTTAGATAAAATCCATTTCTCATTTACTAATTTTACGCCTGCAGCTGTGGGCAACAACCCTTTTTCAGCTTGTTTGAGCGACCAAACTTGCGGAAGTGCCACGGAACTTTGCATAGTAACGAGTCTTGGATATGAATGCTGTGCAATAGACCAGGTACTGTTTGAGTGCTAAAAGAAGCGTTTCAGTAAAGATTCACAGTCACATATGTCTAAACGCTGTTCTCAGTTCAAATTGCCAATCAATTTTCTAGTAGACAAAAACGTTTTGCACTAGAAATCCTTTTCATTTCATGAAAAAATGAGAGCAAACTTGATGAGGCTTATGCCCCTAAAAAATAGGCTACCTACAAAAGGTTTTGGAGGAAAGAGATTGCTTTTATGTAGCAACGCCTGGACAAAAATTATTTTTCGCCACACATTCTTGTTGGTGATGGCACTTAGATCTTGCATCTACGTTGCAAAAAATACTCATACGATATTAAATATCTAGAAACATGGCCATAACCGGACCAAATATTGTAAGATAAACTACGGTTATTACAAAACGAAGAAGGACGTGAGAAGAATAGGAAATAAATTTCCTTTAAAAACAGTGCCCCGGCATATTCTGCATTTCCATCTTTCTGCATGTTTTGGGCCTTTTTGACATGTAGACCTCGAATTTGAGCTTTGAAACGGGTGAAAAGTCTTTTTTCGGGGCATTTGCCCAATCCCAAAAGGCAGCTCGGACGAGAATTTCCGCGGAAAGTTGGGAGGCCCTGGCAAGAAGACCCTGTGCCTGTAATTGTTGCTTTGGTTAGCATGCACCATGCGGGAGAGCGATCGTGGGGTCCCGCGTCGAACGGTCAGCTAAGTCGTTTGAGCGCGCGCCGATTGGGGTTGCGCGCGCCGCTTCAAGGACTATCTTCCGGCCCAGAAAGAACATCAACCAGCCGGACTGCGCCTGGAAGTCTGTGGGAGGACCAGGAACCCCATTACAGCAATATCCCCCAGAGCAGAAATTTGCCGGAACACTGCTTTTAAAGGGCTCATCACATCATGCGACCCTGTAGCCGTTTGCATTCAGTAAAAGTGGCTATTTTCACACAACGTAAAAATTTTTGTCCGACAACGTATTCTAGTTAGACCATCCATTAGCACATACAGATATTCGTTAAAAGTGCAGAGTAAGTTTTACTTCTCAGAAACCGAAATAGTTTTTTATGTCAATGTTCAGGACTTGAAAAATTGAACAACTCGATCAAGCTCGCACTTTTTACAAAGACGACATTGGCACTTATGTTCTGCTGATTTGTCATTTGCCTTACTCAAAATGAATGTGCATCTAGTCGAAGTGGCCATTGAGGGGCTCCAAAGCATTTTGTAGAAAATTAGATGCTAATTCTAAACCTGTCTTCAATCTTCTGCGTTTTTTTTTGGAAAAAATAAATGTATTGGATAAAATCAGTCGTTACGGTTTCTTTAACGCTTAAATAGAGTAGTGATGATGGTATACTAGATGAAAGTGTCCGTTACATCATCCTGATGCCTAATGGTGACCTATTTAATAGGTTAATGATTTTAATCTAAATTAGGGTCCAACCTTAGACCCATAAAACGCTCACAACTCGGCATACAGAGGCGCACAAAAAAGACCGAAGACACATTTGGAATCAGCGTCTGTTTCTCTACAAAATGATATAGTATTTATACGGCAATGCCACTTTGAATAGAGACATTTTCCTTGTTAGATCATTACCCCCACGGTTTCTCCTGCATCGTCGTCTCCCGTAACAGTGGCAACGACTGAGTCGACGGCTACAACAACACAGCGTAAGGAATTGGAGTGAAAAATTCAATTTACACCACGCTACATATAATAATTTCAGCTTGCGTGGATTTGCTAAACCCAAGTACTGGAGTATCAGATTGCGCAGGACTTGCGTATTTGTGCAATAATAACGTATACTGGGCTTTGATGACCAAACAATGCCCAAAAACATGCAACAGATGCGGAACTCCATGTCAGCGCTACAAATAGATGAATTTTTTTTGCAAATTTTCTAAAAAAGTTATTTCGCTTTAGCCTGCCAGGACCTTGTCGATGTGAGAACTGGTGTATCGAACTGCGCACAGATGGCCAGCTTTTGCACAAATTCCGTCTACCTAGATCTGATGAGAGAACAGTGCCCAAAAACCTGCGGTTACTGTGTGTGATTTTTAAAAAAATTTTCTTTTCAAAATTTGAAATAAAATCATGGGAGTTTCCAACAACGTTTGAAGCATGCTTTCTTCAACAAAAATCCAAAATCATCTGTATGTTTCTATTTGTATGATAACATTGTCATACTTATGAATAAATACATGGTACCAGTCTGTAATGCCAAGTTGTAACATAATTTCGCGATAATTTCTTAAGTTTTCTTTAAAAATCAAGAAATTGGCAGAGTCTAATATTAGGTTGGCTCGAAAGTTCGAATTTCGAAAATTTAAAAAAAAATTTCGAAACGAATTTCAATAACTTTTCAATGCCTAAACCTAAATTCACGGTCTTTTTCCCTAAAATCATCATAAGGTATGCGCTACATGATGGGTGTATACTCATAATTTTCCGTAAAGTAGCCACCGAGAACGGAGCTCACAAAAATGGGCTTCAAATTTTGCGATCTTGAGTTTGGCGCCAGAAAGTCGCAGAAGGCGCTAGCTAGCCCGAAAAAAACCTGTAAAAATTACTTACACAGCAGAACTCCACACTTTACTTTGGCAGGCTTTATCTTGTAACACAAAAATAAAAAATTCGGGACAAACGTCATTTTGCAGAGAAGATCCCTTTATTACTGCACTTTTTCAGCGAAAACACTTTTTGACACGCCTAAAAACGTCGCAATCTTCTTAATAAGCACTACATGGGATTTTTAGTTCCAAATTGTGTTTCTGAGGAAAAATTACAGTGATAAGCGGATTCATCCTGTAAAATGACAATTTTCACAATTTTTTTTTTGTTTTTGCATATCTACACGAGATCGGAGCCTGCTAAAGTATCGTATGGACTCCTCCTCTGTAAGTAATTCTCACAGATTTTTCGGCTAGCTCGCGCCTTCTGCGTTTTTCTGGCACCTAACTCAAAATCGCAAAATCTGAAGCCCCATTTTTGAGAGCTTCGTTCTCGATAGCTAGCTCAAGTAATTTTATGCATAAGCAGCCATCATCGCATGCCTTCTAGTAATTTTAGGGAATAAGATTGTGAATTTAGGTTCAGGCATTGAAAAGTTATTGAACTTTGTTTGAATTACGCAAGAACTTTCGAGCCAATCTAATATCTGGTGCATATGACAATAGACACAGGGCGTATATTAGCAGCAAATTTACTTTTACAGACATGAATTGAGTAAATACATAAGCCATTCCATACTGGTACTTCAACCTTCATTTTTTTCTGGAAATGCTTACGTTCTTATAATTTACTCTCTCAAATTTTTTATGGATCTCCGAGGACATTAGTACTAATATGGAGGCGGTCTGGAAGTCAAGGCTCTTCAATAGTGCGAGTAGCGAGTTTGTCAAAGATAATTCGGAAAAATTCTAGGGTAATCAAAAATTATACTTTTCATTACAGAATGACATGTATATATTCAAAGATACAAACCTTACTTTCGGATAATGCGAACAATCCGTTTATGGAGTTTATATAGGTTATCTCCTTCAACTGTAACAAAGCTTTTTTTTTACAACCTGATACTACGAAGTTATTTTCAAGAACTTCTGAGGGTGGCAATATCAACTTATAATATCTTCTCTTTTAAAAAATAACGTAGATTTCTAAGGTGCGAGTGGAGTTAGATTAAAGCACTGTACAACGACTGCCGAGGGTATGCCTATTCAAATCAAGTTTGGAAAAGCCCAAGATGAGATAGTTTACCCTTTTGCTGGAATAATGATTGGACTTCGGTTCTTTGGTTGTTCTTTGTTGTGCCCTTTTAACACCTTCTAAAGAGAAAAGCTTTTTTGAAGTTGTATAGTTCGAGAGAACCAAAAAAATCCGCATTTTGGTTCCAAAGAATGCTAGTGATTCCATAATCATTGATATTCGATTCAGTAATTACGATCTGAGCGTTCCTGCAATCACAAAAAATTAATAGCTCATTCCTATGCAGAAACATTCAGTCAGTGGTAAGGTAGTCCTATCGCCACGGCAAAAATGATGTTGTTAAAATTTTTGTGGACAATCGGAGCCTCTCGCGTAAATGAATTTATATGCAAAACGTGTTCACCGCTACAGTTGGCTTAATGTTTTTTAGAAGGTGTGGGTTTGAAAACGAAGTGCAAATGCTTTTGTTTATGCATAATCGCCAGGTTGAATAGAAAGAGATGACCTTATAACCTTCTGAACTTTTCCAAACTGAACATTGCTTTAGTCTGGAAAATCTCTGGCAGTCAACATCCACAGTTTCCTTAAGTTTTTGTAAGAGCTTTTGCTTATTTCTATTTATCAGGGCTCAGAAAGAACGATTACTCGAAAAGCTGCTACTGCAGGAATAATTCGCGTTTATTTTTTGAACATTTTTTACCTATTCTTCGCTTAGTTCAATCTAGATGCCTTTCAGCAAAGCAGGCATTTTCTCTTAAAATCTTTCAACATAATCGTTTCTTTTCGTGTTCGCTTCGTTAGTCATTGTTCAACACATTGACGACCGCTTGGCACACATGGCGTCAAGCAATGGCTACTCCGTGGGACCAGGACCACTTGGCAGACATAGCGCGTCGAGGCTTGAATTTTATTCAAATGACGACTGTTTTGGGTTGGATCATTCCACAAGTTTCGTTTTGCGCCAGATCCAGGATTACGCTCTTCAGACTCTTAGCAGCTACTGTAGATGAGGGTGTGTGTGATGTTATGGAAAAAAGTCGACTGGTGCATGAAAGGTCGTGTTGGTCAATGTGGTACTGCGTTCGAAAAAAAGAACTTGGTAATATCTCCTCCGTGACGAAGGCGGTCGCCCAAATAGGTTGACAGCATGCAAGGCTGACGCGCACGCAGCGCGCGGGCAATTGTCAACCGCGGGTCGCGCGCACGCTCGCGTGAATGACCGCTGACCGAGCGTGCGCGCGCCCTGTGGTTGACAATTGCGCGCGCGCCGCAGCTTTGCATGTTTTCAACCTACTTGGGCGACCGCCTTCGTCTTGGAGCAGATATTATAGTCTACGTGTCAAACAAACTCTCAGATTAAAAACGGACAAAAACGATCAAAAGTGAAATCACAATCAAATTAGAAAGGTTTGAAACTGCATTAGGATGGACTGCGCAAATTTTGAAAGGCAATTTTTTTAAGGGAGATAAAATTCTGCAAGGATCAAAGATGAACAAGGCAGAGCTACTAACACTGATGACGTTTTTGAAGGTCAACTCCAGTTTCCCTCAGGTCCCAAACAGTCTTTGTTAGAAAGTAAATTTTTGAACCATTGTAATGTAAGTAACAATTCTTATCCTAATTACGTTGACAAGATGCACCGGGTACGGGGGTGTCGAACTGTTTTTACGAGCATGTTTGCGAAACATTCTGAACTGGAAACAAATCGTGGAAAAACGTCCAAAAACACCCAGGAAATGCATACGGATTCACAAAAACGCAGTGATTGGCGCTGTGGGTAATGTAATGATAAATGATCTTGCGCTTCTTCCTAGCAAGCAATTGCAGTTCAGAAAAGTTTTTTTTTGCACTCGATACTTATTACTAGGTTGCGTAATAAGTTCGTTCTCATTTTTTAAAATTCTTTTCTCAGAAGTTGATAGAGCATTTGGCAAAATATTCGCATGCGTTCGGAAGCTCCAAGTCTGCTTTATTAAACTTTCTGTTTTCGCAATTATCCAAGAATCAAAGAAAAAATCGACTACAAATCGAGAAATCTGAGGAGGCGAATCTTCCATTTTCGACAACCATGTTATGCTGCGTTTCAAATGAGTTTAACCGAAAAGAGCTTGAAGAATCTGCGACGTCTGTGGATAGAATGTTGTGGATAGCCAACGCAGATGGCTCAGAAGTGCTGAAATGCCTTTAAAAATGATATTGTAAGCTTGAAAAGGGGCTACTTTTTTAACGTCTTTTCGGCGCCGACGTCAGACATCTGAAGGTGCTTTGAAGAGGGATGGTCGTTGACCAAATCAGAAGCTAGCAGATAAGGTGGTCTGAGATCGCAAATTATCGAATTTATGGGTTACCTAATTTGCAACGCGCGGGACACACAATACAAAAGGCGAAACGACAAACGCCGTTGCAACAATGTCTTCCTCCTCCAACTTTGAAAAATGACACTGAACGGTCTGTGAGAAGAGAGCAGGTACTCGCACTGGCAGTAAGCGCAGAAGTGATTAGTCTGTTGATTTGTTTGTCGTCAAGCCTCTGAATAAGTTTTTTGCTGGGTAACGCGAAAATTGAGAGAGGAGAAAAATTCCGAAAATGGAAATCTGCTATTCAAATTTCGGTGAGTTGAGAAAACATTTATTTTAGCTTATAAACCAGACCTATGGCTTTCAAGCGCATACGAACATATTGCTGAATGTTTTGCAAAAATTGGGAAAATTTAAAAAATGCGGACGAACCTGTTGCACAACCTATATAGTAGAAAACAGAATTGGTGAAAACTCTTCAGCAGCATTCTCGCACAAGTTCATAGCATGAAATTGCAATTGACTTGAGAGGCAGTCATTGCGAAAGTTCATTGAAGCCGATTGTCGAACAGTAAACACAGTTTCTAAACAGATTTTTCTAGTCAAAAAATCTTTGTAAATTACGCTTACAATAAAGAGGGTGCCTTAATTGTAACTTGGAGTAAAAAGTTCCCCGCTGAAAGCGTTAAAGCAAAATAACTTTGAAATGACTGCAGTGGTTATCTGGCTTATAATATCAAAGCAAACGTTGCGAAATTTCTTTCTAGCATAACGCAATAGTGTATAATTAAAATGCGTTCGAGTTACTAGTTGCCTGTCGCTTCGTCATACTCGGCAAAGTTCTCCACAAGCTATTCTTCAAATTCCAACAAGATGCCAAGCTCTTCATATAGGGTGTCCCAAAAAGATGTGCACACTGTTTGATTGTTAATAACTCTCTTGCTTTCATTTCTTTTGCCGAGCTTAAGGTGTCATTTTTTAGAGCGAGGTTCAACTTAGTACAATATGGAGCGAATTATCAGTAGCTTTTCATTACGTAGGATTACGGTAGGAAATTCGAGGAAATTTTG